GAAGGCTTGTACGATGACAACCGCACCTTGCTGCTACAGCTGCTGCTGCTGATACTCCTGCTGCTGCTGCTGCTGCTGCTGCTGCTGCTGCTGGTGCAGTAGTAACAGAAGCGAGAAAAGCAGGAGCAGCAGCAACGGCAGCACCAACAGCAGCAGCAGAGAGCAGCAGGAGACAGCGGCACAACGTAAGAGAGAGAAACACACAAAGGAGACAGAAGGAGACAAAAGGAGACAAAAGGAGACAGAGGGAAGAGACAACAGAAATAAATAAAGAAAAAAAAGGAGACAGCGACAGAGAATAAAAAGAGGAGACAGAGAGAGAAAGAGACAGAAGAAATAAACAAAGAGATAAAAAAGAAGAGACAAAGAGAGAGACATACAAGAAAGAAATAAAAAAAGATAAAAGGAGACAAAAGGAGACAAAAGGAGACAGCGAGGAGGTGCATGTACACCCCAAATACTAAAAAGGAGACAAAAAGAAAAACAGATAAATAAATAAACGGAAATAAATAAATATATAAATAAATATAAACACAAACAAACAAACAAATAAATAAATAAATAAATAAATAAACAAATAAATAAATAAATAAATAAATAAATAAATAAAAATAAATAAACAAAAACAAAGCAACAGAAAGAAATCATATAGACACACCACAAAGAAATAAAAAAAAGAGAAAACAAATATAAATAAAAATAAATAAATATAAATAAATATAAATAAATATAAATAAATAAATAAATATAAAACAAATAAATAAAATAAATATTTATATTTATTTATTTATTATATTTAGTATCAGCTGCTGCTGCTGCTCCCCCCGCTTGCGGTGTTGTTTGTTTCTTTCTTTTTCTTTTTTTTTGTTTTTTTTGTTTTAAATATAAAAATAAATAAAAATAAATTAAAATAAAATAAAAATAATAATAATAAATACATTAGTGAGAGAGGAAAGGGTTTAGCCAGCTAGTTACCTCCTGCTGCTGCTGCTGCTGCTGCTGCTGCTGCTGCTGCTGCTGCTGCTGCATGCCTGTCTGATCGTAGCAGCCCCTGTCTGTACACCTGAGAGTTGTTTGTTTTTGTTTATATAATATCGATTATATTTTATTTTTTTTTTCTTTTTTTATTTATTTATTTTCTTTCTTATGCTTCTTTATGTACGCAGCAGCAGCAC